TCTGGCGGTATGCTGAGGGTCATTGTCCATTTGGAAGATCCATTTGCACCAAAGCTGTAACTTCCTGGCTGATGTCTTGAGATGTTGCTTCAATATTTCCACATAATATTCTTTCCTCATGATACCATCTATTTTATGACGTGGACCAGTCCCTCCTGCAGCAAAACACCCCCACAACATGATGCTGCCACCCCCGTACTTCACAGTTGGGATGGTATTCTCAGGCTTGCGAGCTTCCCCCTTTTTCCTCCAAATGTAATGATGTCCAATAAAGCCAAACAATTAATTTTTAGTTTCATCAGACCACAGGACATGTCTCCAAAATCTGTGTCCCTGTGTGCATTTGCAAACTGTAGTCTGGCTGTTTTATGTTGCCTTTGGAGTAATGGCTTCTCCCTCTCTGAGTAGCCTATCAGCCCATGTCGGTACAGGACTCATTTCACTTACCCTTTTTCCACCAAATAGAACCAGGTGCCAGTTCCGTGCCAGTGCTAGTGCCAGTGCTTAGTTGGTTCCAATCTGGCACTTCCAAAGAACCGATTGCTTTTCCACCAGCAAGTAGTCAAGTTAGAGCCACGCTATACGTCACTGCATACGTAGCCATTTACCGAACAACACTTGTGCCACACAGAAGTCCAGACTTTTTCTTTTTTTTACCGTTGCGACCAAGTCTCTCATTTGGCTGTTTTCTTTAGATTTTGCCATGTTATCACAAAAGGAAGCAGTGTGTTTGGGGTGTGCCTTAAAATACATCCAGTAGTGTGCCTCCAATTAACACAAATGTTTTCAATTAACCTATAAAAAAGCTTCCAAAGCCATGACATCATCATCTGGGCTTTCCCAAATGGTTTGAAAATATAGTAATCTTGTAATTGTGTATGTAAACTTCTGACTTTGAAGAAAGTAATACATTCTCTAAAAAAGTCTCCCTCTCATTAGTCTGGCATTTAGCAAACACAAATAATTTTGGTCATCCTAACTGATCTAAAACAGGAAAATTTTAGTCTGACTTAATGTCAAATAGTGAGAAAAAATGCTTTTATGTCTTCTTATACAGTGTGTGTAAACTTTTGTATGTAAAGAGAGTTTAAATGGCAATGCAAGTGAATTTAACACAGTAAAGGATAAATGTGATATTTAACAATGCATAATCAGTTAATATAACAAATATACAAGAAACACCCCACGTGAGTGATCACTCAGAGATACAACTAATGCTACACAATGACGTGTATTATCTTTCTGTTATTTGGCCTCTCTGAAGGCTGAATCATCATGTTACAGAATAAAAACTACTGACTAACCTGCAGAAAAAGGAAGGAAGGCCTCTCTCTTCCTAAATTTACCATCCTGGTCCAGAAAGTGCTGAGGGTTGAAGGAGTGTGGAGTTTCCCATATCGACTCATCATTCAAGACCGAGTGCAGTGTAGCCATTAAGACAGAGCCCTGAAGAAAAGACTCTGTTAAAATGGTTAATTAACCTGCTTTTTGAAAAATATTTTAAATATCAGAATTAGTCAGAGAAAGAAGAAGAAGAAGAAGAAGAATTTGTGAACCGTGTTGGTTTAAAAGTTAAGATTTAAAGTTTATTCGTGACTAATAAACAGGTCACAAAATCATCATGCTACTTGTAAATACATAGCAAATTAAATCATAGGAATGTAGGCCGACAATTATGTTAAAAGGGAAATTTCAAACGTGATAAAAGTCAGTATGGCTCCAGTAAGTTTTGAAGTCACATTAACAATTGATGTTTTGCAAGACGTTGTCCTTACTACACTCAATATACAGGAAAAAAGTTGTGTTTCCCACTATTGACTGTGATTTATGGATAGTTATGAACTCATCTTCACACAATGATTCACTAATGTAGTATCTCCCAGCTGGTTCTGTCGTAACCTGTAATTTTCATATACATGATCCGGGATTAGAAGTTATTGTGTACCTTTGGGATTGTGTACTTATCCAGTGTGGTGTCATTGTTCGCGATGCGGACCACATTGAGCGGAGCAATGTTGGCATTTCTCTGTACTTCATGGACAACTGCATCAGTGTAGGGCAAGTTTTCTCTGTCAGTCACGGAGGGCTGTCTGGATGAACCAATCACAGCATCTATCTCAGCCTGGACTTTCTCTGTACAAAGTGACAGCAGGAAACAATATCAGTCTGTGTGCTGAGAAGATGACTGAAAGGGAAAATGACACACCCCGATCTTCTCCATCTACACAGGACTTGACCTGTTAGAAACCAGAATCAGTTTAATTACCATGTTTACACAAAGGAACACAGGAATTTATAGAAGGAGAGAAAGATGTAAAATAAATTTTAAAAAAGCGTTGCAAGTCAGTTGGGAGTAGGTGTTAAAACTCAAAAAGCAGCACATTTTCAGACAGATCAACAGCAAGTGTAGCATATCTAAAGAATTCTAATAGTGTCAAAGAGTAATAGAAATATTTACAGTGTGCAGGAATGTGAGATTACACAGTATATGATGTAAACAACCTGAGATAATTATGCAAAAGGATAGCTGTGCATTATGTAATACATAGAGTTCATATCTACGACGCAGGGTGGGTAAAGAGAGGCAGTATCACTGGGAGCTCTATGTTTTAATTATTGATGAGGTCAGCTGCTGTTAGGAAGAAGCTGTTCTGGTCCTGATGGACCTGCCATAATGTTGGGGCTCCAACAGTTTATGCCAAGGGTGGGAGGGGTCAGCCACAATCTTCTTAGCATGTCTCAGGATCCAAGCGGGACTAGAGACTACAGCTGATCACCTTTTTGACTTCAGCTGCCGCAGGATTTGTATCCCCTGCTGAGCTTTATTGAACATGGAGCTGATGTTCAACTCGAGGTTCTGAGCGATAATGGTTCCCAGGAAGAGGCATTGCTCCATGCTACTGACTGGGGTGTCACACAGGGTAATGGGGCCTTTGTGAAATCTACAGCCACCTCCACTGTCTTTAGAACATTGAGCTCCAAGTTGTTGCAACTACAACAGATCACCACAGTGTCAATCTTCCATCTGTAGGCTGATTCATCCCCCCAGACATGAGTCCAAGAAGGGTGGTGTTTTCTGCAAACTTCAGAACTTTGACAGACGAATGACAGAAAGTTGGCTCTTGGTTGAAAAGGGTACTTCAAAAAGTTCTTGGCCTCATCAAACATGTAAGAAGAGAGTAAAAAGATTGTTCTAACATTATTTTTCAACATAGTCTCCTTCAACTTCAATGCACTAGGTCCACCAGTGTTCAAGCTTTGCTATCCCTTTGAGAAAGACAGTCACAACTTGAGCCTCCAGATACTCCTAAACAGCATGCACGACCTCATCATCACTCTAAAAATGACAACCATACAAGGAGATTTCAGTTGGGGAAACAGATGCAGGTGAGTACGTTTTCATGGGACGGCAGTCCAAGCCATTTGGCTACATCTGCCACCTGTGCTGTGTGGACGAACACATTGTCCTGAAGCAATAGTACACCACCTCAAAGCTTTCCAATTTCCACCATAAAGTTATAGCAAGATGCTTACAAAAGATGCAGCCATAGCAGATATTACTTGTACACTCACGCTGTATGTCAGGGTAGTAGATCATGTACAGCAGCCCCCAGCGCAAAGTAGTGGAAGTAGTTTCAGTTCCAGCACCAAACAGGTCCAGAACGCAAAAATACAAATTCTTAAGATCAAAACCAGCTTCTTGGTCCTCCTTCTATCAGTGACACAAGAGACAGACAAGTGAATTGGTTGACAAACTTAAATGGCACAAAGAACAAACATACTACAAACATAATGAAACACTCACGTCTCCCATTTCAATAAGAAAGGAGTCGATGTAGTCTCTTGGTGATGAGGGGTCGAGGGTTTCTCTGTGTTCTTTGATCTTGATTTTTACGAAGTCAATGTTCTCGTTCATCAGAGTGAATATCTTCTGATGGGGTCCAGGCAGTCGCTTCATCAGCCAGGGTATTGTGTTGAAAATCTACAAAGCAGGTCAGGAAGACGACATAATATCATCTATCAGACAAGAGAGTTCCGTCTCATTAAATCATCTTTCAGTAAATCAAGGTTTATTCATCACCTTTGATACGACACTCTAAGAACTTGTTGCTGATAATATTGCTGTACTTTTTAAAAAAGAGCATTGTGAGTGCAGTATTTTTTCACGTAATAGAGTGTTTTTACATTGTTGTATTTGTTCAGTTTGTGGTGGAATGCATTTACATTGTCGTTATTAAAATGCACAATTGACTTCTGTGTTCTCCATAAATCCAGATTGAAATAAGATAACTGGATGCTCACCTGCACCAACATACCTCCCTGCAAGATCACTATCTCATCGAAGTTATTTAGAATACGCTGGTACTCCTTATCAGTGTACTCAAACCGATGCCCAAACACCAAACAGCAGATGATGTTGGACACAGCTTTGTTTATATGTTTCTGACAGTTGAAAGCCTTGTCTGTAAAAAAAAGAGAAAATCTTGAGAAGACACAGAAACTTAAAAATAACGACAACAACAAAAAACCTAAAAGAAAACAAAACTTTCTTAGACCTGTGCACATCAGCGTAATGACGTCTTTTTTTTTTTTTAATAATTTTTAACTGAATCATGCCGTCATCATCTGCTCTTAAATTATAGCTGTTGCCATATTTTCATTCATGAGCTGATGCACTTATGTCTTGTTGCATGCTCCTGTGTTGCAAAAGGAACAGGAAAACGAAAATGATACGTCCATGTGATAAAAATCTAAACGTAAAAGGCAATGCATCATTACAAAATTAATGTGATTTTTTTCGTGCCTTGGTGATCTGCGAAAGCCTCCGTGAGATATCGACACTCTTCCTGGATGAATAGATCCAGAGTCTTCTTGCCCAGACCAAAGTTTCTGAGTGTATGAAGAGCAAATCTCCTCTGCTGCTTCCACAGATAACCACTAGATAGCACAATACCTTTTGGAAACACAAAACAGCATTAGAACAGAAATAATCTGAAGGTGTTTGTCTTGTGAAAAACACTGTTTAGCAACTTTTGAGATAAAATTCAACAAAACCCCACCTCTATTCCCGATCATATCCTCAAACATTGGTATGGGTGGTCGATCTACATAGTCTTCTCCTCGTTGGACCAAGGCTTCTCTCACAAGCTTGTAGCCATTAACAATCACAAACTTTCCACCAAAGAGACGAAGGCTGAAAACATTCCCATATTTCTCTGCGAACTGAGCACAGACAGCAGATTGGTGTTGTGGTGCAACACTGAAGTCACATACTTTCTAAGGAAGGCAACTTTCAATACGTTTAAGGCGAGGTTTAGGGCAGGTGGATTATGATGAGATAACTTATCTGATAACCCCTGTTCTCTGATAACTTCAGTTAGGCATCTCACTATTGGAAGCATTCTCTCAGTGTTATCCTCAGAACCCTCTAGATCATGGGTGTCAAACTTAAATACACAGTGGGCAAAAATAAAAAAAACTGGTGGGCCAGACTTGATATTTATTGAAAAATTGACTACAATTTAGCATGCTTTCCTTTCTCTCCAGATATATAATGATTAACTTTTTCATATGGAAACAAACTTAAGTTTTGCTTAAAGACTCAGACATGTTAGTTGCAGCCCCGGGGATTTTTATTGTCTCCTGGAGGAACACACATCTCAACAGACAGACATCAAATCCGAACCCTTCTGTTGACTTTCACGCCAACAATCCCCCCTGCCAGTGCAACACCACAATATATCCAGTATTGAAAGCAGATAAATCCAAATACAGGCTGGTACATGATCTAAGGCAAATAAATGACAGAGCGCTTGATGGCCCAGTTGAAGTGCCACATCCGCATACATGCTTCACAAATGTGCAGCCCGATGCAAAATATTTCAGTAATTGAACTTTTTTTTGCATGTTTTAGTGTCCAAATACAAGAGGACTCTCAGCATTTGTTTGCCTTCACATATAGAGGAAAACAGTACACATACACAAAAACAACCGCCACATCTGTTTAATCAGATAGCAGAGCAAGATCTGGATGGCCTTGAACTCAGGGACACCTTGTAGCAACACATAGACGACCTGTTACCTTGTGCACCCAAATTGGAGAGCTGTCTCCAAGACTCTATTAAAATCCTTCAGAGGCTAGCCGAAGGGGGACACAGAGTTTCAAAACCTAAGCTCCAATATTGTCGGGCTCAGGTAGAGTATCTAGGACGAACTGTCTCACACGGAACGGTGGTCATTTCCCCATCCCAATTGGAGGGAACTGTCAAAACTCCTCATCCACGAACAGTCAGATAGACGATGACATTTTTGGGAATTACAGGATATAGTGCAGATTGGATAGAAGATTATGCAGAGAAAAAAGCTGCACAGCGAGAAATGATGAAACAGGCAAGAAGTCAATCCCTAAAAGCCCACCTTAAGTGGAATAGCGAGGCTAACATAGTGGATATTTGGAGATCGAAATTGCTCTCCCGATACCAGCACAGCGACCGAATATTCGACTATTCGGGTCAAGCCCTACAGCTTACGCCCACGAAGTGTGTTGTCTGTTTGCGGCAGTGTGGAAGCCAAGAGGCTTCCTCAGGACGGATGGAACCCCAGTGTGGCCTGGGGCACAGATTAAAAAGCTAACTTTAGCAATGATACTCTCATCCCAGTTGGTGATAATTAAGTGCCAGTCACATCAGAAAGGGAGCACTGTTGTGGCCTGCGGAAACAATGCAGCCAGCCAACGAAGCTGCAAAGCTTGCATTTAAGTGTCAAAGTAGCCATCTTAGCACCAATGGTGTCAATAGAGCCCGCGGCTACAGCAGAGGATACCATTTTGATCCAAGGAGAAGCAGATGAAAGTGAACAGAGAACATGGAGTCAGCGAGATGTAACAATAAATAAGCAAGGTTTGTGGAGGTCACAAGAAGGTTTCTTAGTGGCACCATTGGTGGTGTTGACCATTCTCATCTCCAAGGTGCACAGTGTGGATCACTGTGCCAGGGGGGGAAGTGATGAAGAAGGTCAAACAGCATGGCCACTGGTCACCATACATCCAGGAAATGGTGGATGAGGTGTTGAGCCAGTGTGAAGTATTTGCTCACAACAATATGAGAAGGGGCATAAAAGAAGAGTTTTTTGGTAAGACAAGTGATTCCCAGGTTTGGTATTCCTTCAGAAATCCGTTGTGACAATGGTTCAGCGTTTGTGCAAAATGTCTTTATTGGTATTTTGCAGCAGTTGAGAATCAAGCAGTGTTTGGGAACTGTTTATCACCCTCAGAGTCAGGGACTGGTGGAGAGAATAATGTGAGGCTCATGTAAATATAATTCAGTGACAGTGTTATGTTGTTGAAGTGTATATCAAACTGCAGTATAAATGTTGCATAGACGTCAGGATGTCTCCAGCCTCTCTCGGAATGGTAATTGAGTAATTGAGGACAGACGGTAACGTCATATGATGTATTTTGCTGTTAATGGCTACATAGTCTGTAATGGTACACTAACATTCAGATATGTTCAGTTTATATTACATTCTTAACGTGCTACTTTTATATTGTATTATCGTCACTTTATAATCAATTGATGCTATATTTTTATATACTACTTTTATATACTCAATTTTTCATACTCAGATAATTATATTGCATTTCATACAATGTTTTGTTACCACATAATGTATGCACAAAATGCATTTTAAGAAACAGCAGCCGTGCAGGGTTTTTTCTGTATGTATACACTTGAGAAAAGTCAAAATCCCAAACAGTGATTTCAGGGAGGAATGTTGGAGTGAAAGTCCATTGGACTTCAGATGAATGGAGTGAAGAATAGAGAGATTGGGAAAACAGGATATTGCACAATGAAAGGATATTGCACAACACACACAGACACACACACATCTGAAGTGAAATGATGTTGTAGAGTGTACACACAGACACACACACACACATCAAGTAAAATGGTACTGTTGGAATGTAACCAGAGCAAGCATAGGAAATATCTATGCGCACACACACAGCTTTCCAAGAAATCCGCCATCTGGCATCCCTAGGCAGCAAAACAAGAGGTCATGGTGACCTCATCTTCACGACGTTGCCCTTACTTTAAACCTCTTGCTCCAGAGGAAAGGTTCGGATTTGATGTCTGTCTGTTGAGATGTGTGTTCGTCCAGGAGACAATAAAAATCCCAGAGGTTGCAAGGTTTCTAGTAAATGTTGAGAGTTGCTAATGAATGTCAACCAAAGGGGGAAGCAGAGCATTCTGGGATGTGTAGTATTACTGGTGCATGTGCTATATACCGGAGGGCCAGCTCATTTATTACTTTCTTGCAGGCCAAATATACTTACAATGTATATTACCCTTTGGACCAGATATGGCCCACAGGCCTGAGTATGACACCTATGCTCTAGATCATTACTATGGAAACATGTTCCCTCCCTATAAAAAGGGATAGATGTGGGGTTGCCCATCAATCAAGAGAAGCCCACCTCTTATTGGCTCATTTAGATGGTTAAGCTAGACACTTATATCAGCAGTCAGGAGAGAGAAGCAAGGAAATGAAATGACAGGTGACGCTGTGTCTATCCTTTTTATAGACAGGTACCAGTACTAGCTGGAGTCATTATATAAAGGCTTCTGAGGATAATGCTGAGAAAGCATTCCCCACCGTGAGACATCAAAATAAATGTATGAAAGCGAACTTATCAACGTATTTTATTTGTTGTTACATGAGTGTGGTGTTCATCTAGGATATGTTTGCTAAACAAAGCCTGATACATGATGCAGTGGCATCAAGCATTGATGTCACCTCGCTCCTTTGGCTCAATATTCATGTTATAATGGAGGCACTGAAGTTGGTTAAATGTTCATGTTAAATGAGACTTTTGATCCAGTCTAAATTTGGTCTAACGGTGTGGTTGATGCTGCTTTTTATTCACAGTGGAAAGCAACAGAGTACATTTGCTCAAGCGCTGTACTTCTGAGGTACTTGTACTATTTAATACGTCAGCTTCACTAGATTTCAAAGGGAAATTTAGAATTTTCTACTCCACCATGACTACACCCCTTTTTTGACATGCATGTTTTCTTTAGGATTTTACGCAATTTATAAGATAACAGGCTGTTATAATAAAATACATAGTTGGATTAAACCAGTGGTTTCCAGCCTTTTTGGCCTCTTAGAAAATGTAGTGGGTAGTCAGGGTTACATTTTAGATAATATTAATTTACATAAACTTTCAGATAGTCCAATTTCTTTTTTTTTTTTTGCTTCCAATGGGGTATTTTTACATTGCTGTATTTATGCTGGACACCCGGGATCTTTCTGCGTGGAGTTTGCATGTTCTCCCCATGCAGCGTAGGTTCTCTCCGGGTTCTCCGGCTTCCTCCCACACAGTCCAAAAACATGTTGAGGTTAATTGGTGATTCTAAATTGTCTGTAAGTGTGAATGTGAGTGTGCTTGGTTGTCTGTCTCTAAGTGTAGCCCTGTGATAGACTGGTGACCTGTCCAGGGTGTCCCCTGCCTTCACCCTGAGTCAGCTGGGATAGACTCCAGCCCCCCATGACCCTAGTGAGGATGAAGCGGTGTATAGATAATGGATGGATGTATTTATAGTTTTACTTTAGAATCTGAATATTTCTTCCACCTCTGCTGTTTACAGATTACAAGTTCATTTCCAGCCACCATGAGTTAATGATTTGCTCTGCTTGATGTGTTGATACATGAGGGGTCACTCTCAAGCTGTATCTAAATTCTTTATTTTCTATTACAACAAGAATATAATCATAACAATAATAATAACAACAACAACAACATATGGACTTTTACCTCTGCAAACTGCAGGTGAAGTCTTGAAGGTTGAAGATTAAGAAGATTGCCAATAAAAGGTAGAGCCCAGGGTCCAGGAGGGAAGTTTTCCGGCAATCTGTTCTTCCAAACGTCAGCCAACAGCAGAAATACACAGAGAAATATCAAAATGCTTCTGCTGTCTATCCACTCCAAGCCGAGAACACTGAATATTGCCTCCATGTCTTCGCTTGAACTGCGCTACAAGGACAGAGAAAGAGAAAGATAAGAGTACTTCTCTGTGGTTGATAACAGAGATAACAAGACTATCAAAATAAGAGCATGTGTGTGTGCAATGTGGGCTCTTCAGTGCTGACGAATAACCTTTACTCTTGTAAAAAACAAACAAAAACAAAAAACTGTCACAAATAAGTAGGTACTGTAATGTTTGTGATCTCAGTAGGCAGACAACGACGTGCATTCAACTGGTACTTCATTACTGGACTGCAGGTCCACAGAACGTGTGCTGGAGACTGACTGCGTGTGTGTCTCACGCTGTCTTAAAGAAACAGTGACCACTAGACGGTGCTGTTACACATGTAATCAATATGTGTCAATAACATATTCTGAACATCACAGGTACAAAAAAGTATTTGAATGCACAAAATATGTATTTAAAGTTTTGTATTCATACGTGGAATTAGGTTGGATAACTGCGAACTAAAGCTGCTAGATCGGTTTGTTACCGGTGTTTCAGGTAAACTGGCGATGTTTGCTGCTCGGAGGTTCAGTTGGCAGGTTCATCCCAACCAGACCTGCGTGGGTGCGTGCGTGCGTGCGTGCGTGTGTGTGTGAAGATAAAGATACTCCATGAAGAAGAATTTGCAGAAGAATGTGCACATCGCTAGTTAATAAAGTCTATATCCATGTCAATATCATCTAAAGACAGCAAAATGAAACGTGCTGGACAAAATAAAAAAGCTTTTTAAAAAACAAAACAAAAGAAAAAAACATGTTTTTCCAGTTCGGATTCAAGTTCCGTGTTTCAGTCATTGTACCACCGATCAGTTGGACTAGGATCCTTCTCATCCATCTTGTCCAGTCTGTCAGGTGATTATTCAGGAAACACGCTCAGACCAACTAGCGACAGTCACAACTTAACACAGAAACACACTGCCTGTTTAATAACGACACACAAAACACATTATTGTCTCACCAAGCAAAACCCACAACATAGAAGCACATTGTGTTGTGTTTTGTTTTGTTGTGTTGTGTTCGTGGGTTCATTCCGGGTCAGCGCTACAGAGCAGAACTTCACGCTTAATTCGGGTTTGTTCACCAAACACACAGCAGCCTCCCACCACCACAACAACACGAAGCATAACTTTAGTTGAGTTTGATAAAATGCATCAGAACAAACTGAGGCTACGTTGTCAGAACTACTCACTGAGAAAACAACAAACACGTCCAGTCGTCCGCGCAGGTATCCAGGTATCCGGTAGTGATGCGTGGGTCGATACAGAAATATCTATACTTCCGATACCAGATCTTTATGCTCTAACATTCAAATTCAAATTAAAAAAAGCGATACTTTTGATACTTCAGTCATTTAAGGTAATGTATATCATTACCAGGAGCACAGTGGGAAGTAACTAAACTACTGAGATCTTGACTAAATGGAGAGCTTGGTGGGAACTACTTTTTCTTCCGCTGCAGGCAGCCCTATCCATTCACAGAGGGAGATGACGAGCTTTAAACGGCGTGAAGCGCTGCTGCTGTTGGAGTTGTTCACATTAATAAATATGGTGCATGAGTTGGAGTAATATTATGTTTATCACTGAGATAATCTCACAGAGGCAAAAAAAAAAAAAAAAACTAGGTAAGGTTTCATACAGAATTGATCATTTTTAGTGGATTACTTATACTAAGTGTCATGAAATGATACTGAGCAATTGCGATAAAACAGCCATTATGAACTTAGAAAAATATATAGTAAAAAAGATGGATACAAAAAAATATCTATAAAACATACCTATTATTCACAATCTGTCTAATTTGCTTTAATTGTTCAATGATTATTTAAAAATGTTGGTATTGACAAACTTGTGCAATTATTGTGGCCTTTATTAGTGGCACGGGCTGAGCTCGAGGCCCTACTTGTACAGAGTTGAAAATGAATGGGACGGACGAAAAAACGACACTACTTTTCAAACCTCCACTGCTCAGCCATGCTTTCACCTACAGACTCCATTTAA